ACAGCCCATTACCCACCCCTCTGCCCCCATTCTCCAAGAGCATCACAAACTGGGAGGGGTAGCAGAGGAGCTCTTACCTCCGCTCCCCTCCGGAGGGGTCCCGCGCTGAGTTATCCGTATCCTCAGCTGCTCCTGGTTAGCAGCGCGGGGAGGGAGGGCTGGCGGGGCCCAGCTGACTCTGGCCAGATGCTCGCCAAGTGCTCTTATGTAATTACTGTCTTTTCCATCCTGCCTCCGAGGCCTTTGTGAGTGCCTCCCCCCTGCTCTGGCCCATGTCAGGCTTGGCTCTCACTCCTTCCCTCCTTCCACCCACCCCACACAGCATCACGGTTTGCTCAGCTCAACAGCTGATTCCTTCTGGAAGCAAAGTTCAGGCTTTTGGCTACTTCCGTTTCTACCCTTGGAAAGAGAGCTCACATGTGTTTCAAGGATCTGGGAAGTGATGGGCAGCACCACTCTGCACTCACCTCCTCCCCATCACTGCCTGACCGCAGCCGGGTCACTTCGGCTTGCCCTTCCCTAGTGCCTGCAAACAGGGAGGGGGGCACCTGAGACATGGAAAGGTGGCAGAGAGTTTTCACGCTTTAGTGCTTTGGGGTGCTCCCAGGTTACCCTGTAATAGCAGCGAGTCCTCTGCCATATTGGGATCACTAATCATCTCCGGCCAGGCTGTAGAGGGAAGAGGAATCTTTTCCAGCCTGTGAACTCCAAGGCTGTGCACGAGGCTTGTGTAACAGCCAGTTCTTGTTACCCAAGAGCACCAACGAGGTATGAAATTACTGGCTTAGAATATCCAGTATGTTTCTGTGGATGGACAGGCCCACTGGAAGTCAGCTGCGTGGATGCATTTCTTTTGTAACTCCTGGTGGCCTGGACCCACCAGGAACGACACGTTCCCTGGCTTTATGCAGCTTGCTGCGGAGTCTGAGGGCACTTCTGCCAGCAAAAAAGGTTCGCAGTAGCCTGGACTGTCTCACACGGAGATCAAGGCCTGGCAAAGCCGCTTCATTTCTTTTGCTGTGCATTGCTGAAATGCCACGTGGCTGAGGAGGAGCTGGAAGAGCCAGCTACCTATACTGAAGCAAAGTTGTTGCCAGACCTGGACATCTCCAGCACTGAGCATCAAAGCATGAGCTTGTCTCCCACTTCCGACTTGCCCCCACAGCTAATCCAAAACACCGCATGTCTGCCAGACACAGCTGAACAGTCTATCAGAGGCTGGCTGACAAGCTGCATCAGTTGGAGATGCCTTGCAGCTAAGGGCATATCACCCAGGCTGCCCCTCTCTCCATAGACAGTTTTTCCAGCTTGAGTGTCCCATCTCCACCTTGCCTGAGACAAGTGTCCACCTCAACCTCTAGCATGTGACTACAAGCACTAACCTGACTGCACTGTGAGCATCTAGGCCCAACAGCTTGGCTGGGTGGCAGATACCAGGTGACATTGCCGCCTGTTTGAACCAGTTCTTAAAAATAACCTTCAGCAGAGCTGGCTGCCTTCTGCTTCTCTGCATCTAAATGCCTGCTCCTCCCATTATTCCTATGTAGACCCAGGAGTTTCTACCCCTGTGCCGTCCTCTCCCACACACACTCCTAGTCCTGCCTGGAGCAGTTAGCAACAGTAGGCCACTACCAAGGATGTCTCAACTCTCACAAGGAATGATGAAGAAGATGGACAGTGGTTAGGGCAAGAAAATTTTCTTCAGAGATATCTATGAGCTTTTTCACCAAAGAAACAAGCACTTCGTGGCATGAGGGGCCAAGCTGGTGTTCAAGAGCTCACAGGAACTCTTGGATTTGTGATGGGTGCTTCCCACTAACGAACCACCTTGACACCAGGGGTGTTTGAAACAGAGAGTTTCCACCATCGCTTGGTAGCAGTGTCCTGAGTCTGGTCCTAAACAGGGGAAGAGTCCTGCCACATTCTCTGGCCATTTGATCCAGCACAGGAATGTTTGTGCCTCCATCTTCAAGGCATGGGGCACAGGCGATGTTTGATACACATGCAGCAAAGCTCGATGCTTTTCACAGCACCAGATCTCTGCTGCAACTGCATGATGAGTGCCTCTGCGGGGCTAACAGATGGCTCTGCATGCGTCTCCAGGTCCACAACCTGCACGGTGAATATATGGGATTTCCAAGTGTTGTCAGAAAGGGGGTAGATACTTTTGTTTAATATCTTTACCAGTGATCCGAATGAGG